AGTATCCGCACATATGTGCAACCGCAAGCTGACATGATTCACAAGTACCTAAATTTGATTGAGGGACGAAAAGTAACCCGGCACGCTATGACCTACGCCAACACTTGGAGGGACACATGCATTATCAGTCTTGAACACAAGGTCCAGATCTTCGATATCTGCAATTGATGCAAACCCGAAATTCTGTGAACGAGCATCATCACATTGTTTTATTTCTGAGCCAAAGGAGAAATCACCTTCCACAAGTTGAGACTGGAACCTCCGCTTGTCTTGGCAGAACCTGGACCGTTGGGAGCATCGGCCATAGAATCGACCAATAAGAATGACAAGGAAGGAACTAGTAACTTGAACTTGAACTCGCTGGAATTACCAGCAAGCTCGGTGTTTAGCTCGGCTTCGCCAATGTACAGGACTGCAGAGCCAGGGTGACTAGGGGCATATGTCTTGATCGATACGTCTACAATTGCGAAAGAAAGGGACGTTCGTTCTGAAGGAACGACTGATTCGAAGACCTTAAAAAGCTCATCAGTCTATTCAACTCCGAGGAGGGCACACTTACCCCCGGTGGAGCTTTTATAAATCGAGCCAAGTCCGAAATCCACTGCAAATTAGGATAAACATGGCAAGTGAAGCCCCAGAGGGCCAACCGTATCTTGGTCTCTTTTGCGCCGGTTTCGGGAACTACCAGGGAAGCAAAGCGAGCCTTTACCATTGGCCTTGGCACAGAAGACTAGACTTTCGTGAGGGACGCAGCTACGACAAATAATCTGCACAACGCACCAGACTGCGAGGTAATGTCAACACGAGGAGAGGTACGAGCTCCCACTTTGGCGATACTTCCCCGACATGAAGGTCCATCAAGCTCGAGGTTATGACAGTCTCATCCTAATTGAAAGAAAATGAAGTGAGAATTCGAAGATATATCTTTGCAATTCCACAAACCTTGCCATCAGGTTTCAGTTCAACAAGGACATCAATGTCTGAGGCGGATATGTCGAAAGGACGAATTGAGGGTGCGGATGTTTGGGAACGGGATATCAGTATTCTTACTAGAGCTGTGTTTCGAAGATATCAGCGTGAGCAATAACTGAAGCCAAAATCGACTCTACCTTCAGCAATGATCACTTTCACGGCCGTCTCGCTTTGTTTCGGCGTTGGCGCGATAGTGCCGAAGCTGCTCTCGTCACTACCACGACTCCCAACGCGCCTTGATTTGGCGAAAAACCTACTGCCAATCAGGCTCGGGTTGCGGCTCTGAGCGACTTCAGTTTCTGTTTCCTCCGCGGCAGTGGCGACCACTTGTGTGACACTGTCAGCCCAAATTTGCAATCCATCGAAGACTGGTTTTTCAAGAACGACGTTGACCAATGGGACATTGATGATGATTGAAGTCCTATGCATCGAAGAAGAGACAGCAGCCTTTGATGGGGCCACCTGTGTCAATTGAAAGCGAATAGGAAGTGAGTCTGGCGCCTGTTCCGACAACAGCAATGAAGCCGATCCGGGGTGAACGTCATCCGTTCGTGGCAAGGAACCAAGTGATATGAAAGCATGCGCCTTTGAATCTCCTACGGGCGCATACGATAAAACAATTCCCTTGATCTGGCCACTCAAGAGTTGTCCTGGCAGATTTTTGACGCTGGGATTCCTTGATTCACCAACATCCCCGAATCTGATAGTCGGTGATTCTTGATCAAGGGGTTTGTTAGACACCTGTACGTCATGGAGATCCAGTATAATGCCTCCTGATCGGGAGGGCTGAAGGGATGGTGATCTGCATCGAACCTCAGCGCGGAGGGCAGGTAGGATAATGGTGATCTTCGGATGCGACGTCTGCTTGGACTTGGGCTACAAGCGAATAGTATGATAAGTCAGATATATAACACACAACTGCAGATTACGTTCCCATCTACCTTGTGTTTGGTGTTTGTGACTCGCTTGCTGTGGGGTCTCTGTCTCGCTGGTGCCCCGGTCCGATAGTCGATGTCTAAATCCAAATCCTCGAGGACAAGTCTTTCCAAGCGTCTTCTCTCCCTCTCGCGTTCGAGTTGCTTTGGTGTTATGAATGGAGTGTTAAGTTCATCATCGCTTGCTGAATCCTCCTCTTCTGTGTCGTCCAGTGAACTACGCCCTTGGAATGTGTCGGAAGCGTCCCGAGTAGGAGATCCTTCAACTGCTAGGACCTCATCAAGAAACTTGAGCACACCGCCGCCCTCAAGCATGATATCGACGTCGAAGAACACGTGCAATGGTGCAATTCGAACCAAGATGTCGGTCAAACCCCCTGAACGGGTAGTCGCAGGGGTGACGCGAGCGGTGAAGGTAATAGCACTGGAAAGGGACAGCTCCTTAAGTTCTTCTTCACTCAGCAACGCCGCCGTGGGTGGTTTTGGAGATGTCGGAAATGCAGAAAATTTCGACGGTGGACTGTGTGCTAGCTGATCTTTCCCTGTAGATGATTTTACTCTCCAGGTCGACAACTTCGAAGAGCCTCCTGCAAGTTTCACAGCAGTCCAATCCACCACCTCAAAAGTCGGCAATGTTACTTCGGAAAGCGGCTGCGCTGGAACGGTTGTCGAAGAGAAAAATGGGCGACAATGACTGACAATATATTGATTATGCAGACGATGATCTGTAATCAGGAGTGGTAACGAAAGTTGCGCCGCATCCTTCTCGACAGTCCTGGAAGTGTGGTACATGAAGACCGAGAGATTCGAGAGGAGTATGTTGGATGTTATCGGAGAAATATATGTTGCATCAGTCTTATTTCCTGGAGTCCCAGATAAATCAAGAGAGCCCGTAACATTCTCCAACAATACGCGTAAGTATGTCGAAGGCAATCTTGGAGGGATAAGTGGAGACTGGAAAAATGCTTCAAGCGAAGGAACCTCCTGATCTAGGGCCTCAGTGATCACAAGGGTCACAATTCCACGGATATTTAGACTTGCGTGCAAGCCGCACTGGAGGGTCGGCGGGCTTGGTGTGGTCTCAGGGTGTTGGGGAGTGGTACCAGCATTCTTGGATCCGCAGTAATTGAGCATTTCCAATAGCATGCGAACGTGACAAGCCCGAAGAGCACATGACATGATACCAACACTGACGCTGAGACATAAGGTTTCGTCCTGCTTGACCGCGATGTTCTCCGTGTGAGGCGAAACTATCTCAAGAGTCGAAGGATGCGCGACGTCATGCTTTGTGTAATCAGGTGGCGTTTGGAGTCGAACCACGATAGGGTCTGCACCAACAGAAAAAACAAGATCTTCTGTAGCCCAGTGAGGTACATGGGCAGACTCTCGATTGCCTGCTATGTGATCGCACGAGCGAGGTTGAGTTATATCTCCCGTACCAAAGTTGCCGAGGGGCTCAAGGGGGATGGTCGAAGAGCAGCCAGCAGTAGAGACCGCGCTCTGATACATGCTACCGAGAACTGAGCTAGACGGAGAAGCCCGAAACTGACTACGTGGTGGAAGAGCAACAATGGACTGCGACATCATCATCTGCGTGTCTTCATCAATGGAGGAATAAGAGGACGCGGGTGACACCGGACGAGGAGCCTGCTGATGATCGTGCAGCGTGACATGGGACGAAGTGAGCGACACAGGCGACATGGTTCGTGGCGAGGTGACAGGGTTCTGTAAAGTAGCTCGAATGTCCCGAGAGGTAATGGTGACACCTGATATCGAGACTATACGTGTGTGACCATTCCGTGTGGATCTTTCAAGAGCAACGTTGCTCGATGGCTCGTCTCCAGTACTTTGCCGCTTTGGGACACTTGAGTCCGTACTATATGCAATTTCTGGTATTGACAGGGTAAAGCTTGAGTGTCCGGGGTGGACAATGACTATTTTCGTGTCCGCAGCAGAGAACTCGAAGCGTGCAAGTAAATGTTCGAAGAGGGTGGCAAACAGGGATACCCCAGAAGGGTCAGAATCAATGCCAATTTCTTCTTGAGGGTGTACACGGGTAGATGAATCTAATCCTCCGGGAAGGTGATGACCCTCATCATAAGCGTGCTGAGGTCGGGAATCTGGATGTAAGGACTCTCGGAGCGTGGCTTCTTCCCGAGGGGTAAGCTCGCCGTGGATGAATGTCTCTGCTACTGATGCAACAGATTGGGCAAGATTTACACTATTTGGAGAGCTGAGGTCGGATGGAGGGGTGGCATGCAATGTGAGGTGTAGTGACTGTACCGAAAGCCCTACACTGGAAGTGAGAGGATTGGGGAAGGGTATTCGTGCAGTTACACAAGATATGGAACCATCGTGAAGTCTGAATGGTGATCCTGCAAGAAGTTTATTGATCGCCTTTGGAGTAGTCAATGAATGGACAGTTAGACCAAGAGGTAAAACCCGAACCTGGTCATCTAGCTCAAGATCCCTTACTTGTACAACCCCAGAGCCTATCTGCGAGTCTATCTGATGAAGATCGAGCTGCCCTGGCTTTAGAAAATGTCCCAGTGACTTCTTGAGAACGAATGAAAGAAACCGACGCTGAATTGCAGAGGGTAAGGAGAAGTCGAACGACGGAAGCCCAGAGAACCAGGAAGGATACCAAGTAGACATGATAATGGGCGTTGCTTGAAGATGCGTTCAAGATCGAGATTGATTCATGACCTAGTACTCTGCATAATATTGTAGGAGTACGTATTGAGCCAGGTGGGCACACGCAGCAAAGGTGCAGGGGGTATAGCTGAAAGTACTACACCAGTACTTCGGAGTTGCCTTTTCCGTCACGTATGATATCAAAGTGGACTTTGCACAAACTTCACAACTAAGTATGTAACAGCTCAAATGCCAGGACTCCCAATGTCTCATTAATGCATTCGTGATATATTTTGAATGGGGCTTGATGGATACTCATGAGCACATTTCCCCAAGGAAAGCTCCGTTGAATTGAGTGGGACTCACTGATATGTGCAGGTGATGAAACTAAACTGAGGCGCGAGGCGTGAGCGCAATGCGGTCATCATCGAGTGGTCTGAATATGTATATTTCTTCGAGAAGCCAATCTATGTCGGTGCTGACCGCAAATAATAAACCATGAACTATCACGATGATGAACACAAACCATTTACCTGAATTCTTCCTGAGTGATCTCAATCACCTGTGTCACGCGCTCGTACACAGCAGTTATCCAAACCCCATAGATAGCATCACCCTGGAGCTGATACAGGTTGGACACGATAGCGAGTTGTGTCGCTGTCAATTGGGCTAGCTGGCTATAATATTGTGGAGAATACTGAGAACTAATTTGGAGCGAGGAGCCAAAGGAAGAAAGGGGGCTCGGTGTTCGCATGACTGTGCAAAGATGGGCCACCCGAACAATGGCAGAATGAGGAGTTTCAGGCTCACGTGCGAGAAGTGGTGTAAGAAGTTGGGATGCAGCTTGCTTTGAGGTCGATGCGGAACTCAGACCCTCATTATGATCGCCATACCGCGGTAACGGCCCAGCAGGAGTCTGAGGAGAACTGACATTTCTACCTTCATCATTCTGGGGCAGATCAAAAAATGAACGATAAGATTGTTCAAATGCTCGCGAGTCGGCTGCCATCGAGTCTTCCGCATCCCCTTTGAATTCTTGGACGACAAGCATCTCGTCTGTGTTGTGAGCCTGCGTAAAGTCGGAATACATATGTCAATCATGAATCCGGAATATGCACATACCTGTCCTTTGTGCCTCTCGACCATCAAACTTGTCTTCATGCACTCAAGAGTATGATACATAGCCTGATGATATCCTGCCCCAATCATGGACTCAATATCGATTATTTTTTGCTGGCCACGCTGGATAAGTTTGCCCTTGACACAAGCTAGACTGTTGTCACTTGATGGATGACGATAAGATTAGAAATTTGAATTATATTGTAACTTGAAACCACGACGCACAATTGTCGTATCATGGCCGAGAACGCGGCATGATCTTGTCCTGCTGTGTTACTCCGTGACCCATATATTCTCCCAGTGCCATCATCGAGGTCATAAACACCTCGAGCATCACTGGTACGTAACATGACATGGGTGACCAGCAGGACCTTCAGGGATTTGAATATGTTTGATCTTTCAGAAACATTCAAATAGTAGTGACTCGCCTTATCGAACTTGGCCCCACCAAGCGAGAACTGAACATCGTTGGCTAAGCGTTCCGCCTGCAACGCTTGGTAAACCGTGATCGGTCTGATTGATTCTGTTTCAGATGACTTGATGATTGTTGTTTCCACTAGCAAAGGTTCGCAATCTTCCATCGTTGTGAGCACTACGGAGACGCATCGAAACCGTTTCCAGCTTAGTGGCGGCTGCCTGATCGACTCGGACACTGTCTACTGGGCCTGGGCCTTGGGCCTGAGGCCTGAGGCTTGAAGTTCGAAGTTCGAAGTTTGAAGACCCTTGTGTAACAATGTTTACCATCCTTCCATTTTGAGGTAACTACTGATACTTGTCTTGCAGAAGAAAAAAACGAACGACTACATCAATCAGGATTCAAGGAATCGAACAAGAGTCTCGGCAGTTTCAACACTACCTAAGTACTCGCAAGCAACTTTCATTGTCAGAAGTACACGACCATGGTAGGTCCATCAATCAGCAACCTTGAAGTGCGAATCGTCAATAGTAGTAAAGACGAGGCCGTCGTCCATGAGTTTATCTAAAGCATTACTGGGGATTGCGTCAGACTGGCGGAGCCGAGCATGCCTTGTGAGACATACCTGATTGTGACAGCATTACCTCCGACAGCACGCGCAATAGAACCAACGTGCACGCCTTCCTCATTAGAAGGTTGGTTCAGCATGAACGTTATGATCGTATATTCCAACTTCGGCAAATGGGAATATTGGCTGTTGTTCGTAGCCGGGGAATGTGACTGAACTGCGTATGCAGAGCCTCCGGCTGCCGGGGGTCCGGTAGCCTGGGCCTGTGGAATTGTTTTTGGATTTTGTCCAGCACGAGGGGGCTGCTCACGAGGATCAGATCAGTAATATCGTAATTTGGTGTAACGTACCGCTCCTTTCGCCCATATTAGTGTGACCGTCATCGCTTCCAAAAGGTGGAAGTATATCTCATGAGGCGACTTGACTGGCCGTATATGAGTCGCATTTACGTATCGCTTGCTGCCAAACATTTTCAACGTGCCAGATACACGTACGTATGATCCCTCACTGTCCTCGCATTAGTTTCACTGCGGCCTGCGAAGGAGGAAATTTACGTGATGGCACTCGACCCCGTTCCACTCTCTTCTATTGAGGAGTCAATCCAATGTCGGGCTTCGATGCGACCCGTGCCATCGTCGAGCCAGTATAAGTTGTTGGTGGCTTGGCTCTGTATTGAAACGACGTGGCCGACGACGGTGACCTGCAAATTCGCAGTTCGTCCAACTAGCTACGCGAAAATGGATGTAAAAATTACCTGGCCGAGTTCTGTATCATCCAGCATCCACTCCGCGTCCGAATGCGCTTGGGTTGCATTTAGGAGCTGAAGTACAGTCAGAGGTCGTAAGGAGTGGGCTATCTCGGTTCTCTATATTGCACTCAGTTTAGGAGAGAATTAGAATGGTTATATGCAGCGTACTCGACTAGCTCCTCCCGGGCTACCGCTTGCGCTTCCATATGGCGATCCACCAGTCATGAATCCACCACCTCCACCTCCACCTCCAGCACCACTGTTTCCGTAGTAGTCGTTGACTTCCCAGCCTAATTAGTAGGATTTTCAGAGATAGTATGACTGCTCACATTGACTCATCTCGTTGACGTTCCTTTAGTGAGTGAATTTATCGTGATGGCGCAGTGAGCAAGACACGATAGAAACGCGTAGAGTCACAAGTCACGCGTATTGCATGACATAATTCAATGTCACAATTACATCCGACAAACCTAAGTACGTAGTGTGGCAGTAGCATGAGTAGTGAGTGGGGAGTAGGTGTAAAGTAATATATGCAATGTCAGTATCGAAAGTGGAGGGCCGGTTCACTGGCCATAATTGGTGCAAATCTTGACCATTCCTTTACCAACGCCCTCAAGTACTTTCTTGCGCGACTCGCCGACGTTCTTTGCAATATTGAGCACAAAATCATGATGCAGCTAACGAATGATGTCAAGGCATGATCTGATGATCGAAAGCGCACGCCTACCTTCGGGAAATCGGCGATGGGTTTACAAGACTCAACGAAGATCTTCCGTCGTTCAGCAGACCCGGCCACCTCGCCTATCTTCAAAAGGTCATTCGACATTGTCTTGAGTACCGTGCAGGCCTTGGAGCGAATATCCTTGAGGGATTGCACGAGCTGAAATGTGAGGAGATGGGTTAAGACACGTCTTTCATTAAAGCCTATCATTCCACTTACTGCCCCCAATTTGTAAATCTTGACAACAGATGCGGTCTTGAAGCGATGGGATTCCACCGCAAAGAGAAGGAAAGCCTAGACTTAAAGTGAACAAAGCGTAGACTAGAACTCGAGTGAAAGTGTACTTCTTGGGTGAGTGTTGCTACATGCAGTAGGTCCGAGGGGAGGCTCTGGCTCTGTTGTAACTGCACGAAGCGAGCGTGCATATCTGTGAAAAGAGTGAGCAGTGAGCCAGCCTAGGAAAACTGAACGTACGCTCGAAGAACTGTGCCACCAATTGAGGCGGTTCCTTCACAGGAGGAGCTTCTTCGTCTTTCTTTGCATGACCATTGGCGTTGGCGTCACCATTTAGGGCTTTGAGGTCAACACCCCTGAGCGGAAGCCCGGTCCTGAGCTCATTCTGCTTGTTGGCCTCAGCAAGAACCACCGCAGGAGGCGGGCGAGTGTAGTCATGGTAGGGCTCGAGCCAGTCACTGACAGCAGTGGCCCATTCCATAAGTTGCAATTCATCAGCCGTCAACTAATGAGTTGTTAACGTGAATCATGACTCGACCAAAATATCCTACCTCTGCTGCTTCTTCAGGTTTTCGGATAGCTAGACGTTCCCTGAGAGGAAGTTGGACTTCTGGTTCTGGGCTCTTCTTTGGCCGGTCACCAATCAGTAGCTTCTCCTCGACAATATCATCCAGATCACTAGCATGCTGCAAAGCACGTATGTAGATTTTGATGAAATACCACAGCCATCCTTGCTATTGAGAAGGTCAATAAATGCAAATATCAACACAGATGAATAGCATACTCCAGTCGAGCTGCCAAACATCAGGGTCTGGTCGTTCAGCGAAGGCTGACATGCTGGTTGATAATTGGGCAGCATGCCAAAGTCCCGGTTGTCATGGTGGACTGAGAACAGGAGTCAAAAACGTACATGTATGACACTGAAGGCCAAGGCTTACAACGATCAAAGACAAATTTCAGTTCTATCAGTTCCATGTCAATCAAATCAGAATTGATAGGTTCATGTGTCATCCGCATGCGAACGTGCTCAAGCTTAACGACGTCACGTTGGAGGGAGTTCTCCAACTTGTCGTCAAAAGAGACAAATTCTGGTATCTGTGGAGGGTAACTATCCTGAAAGCACAAGAGTATCAAAATCTGACCTGACTGTACTTCTCTGATGTGAATGCACGAATGATGAAATCCGGGGTCTATGAAAAATGAGAGAGAGGCTGATATACAAGAAGGGTACTTACATCTTGGGAATTACTGACATAAATCTGGCTTGATTCTATGCATTCTGAAGGGTATGTCAGGTCTCCAGTTGCAGAAAGGGAGAAGGTCAATGCCCGTGTGAGAAGAAAGTGGGAAAGAGTGTCATTTTGGACTTGTTTTATATTGATGGCACGGTAGTGGTCCAGAGCCAATGATGAGGCTCCTGTAAGTTACTCGTCGGTATAAGACCTTGGAACACCCGTAGGAACACATACCAAGTAGACGGTATATGCGTACAAGTAGCAACCGAATCTGGAACGACATACGACTCTTCGTCAAAGCGAACTCCAGCACAACGGCGGCATTGTACAGATAGCTCTCGTCCTTGGTCATTGTCCACAGGCTGACAAATGCATGACCGACAAGGATCGCGAGATCATCGGCCGGCTGAAGTTCGGTTACAGGCAAGCTGGAACCCAACTCTAGTCCCGCCATGTACTCTTCGATATAGGTGGATGCCAAACACAATTCTTTGTCTGTGGATAGTTCTGAAGCCGTAAGACTGATTCGTTGTAACTTCCGAACATTTATCACCCGTTGCAGATCCCCCGTAGTAGCCTACATTACCAAACGAGCTTAGGACACAGGAAAGCCCAGATGGAAAAACAGTACGCACAAAGGAGGATTCTCGAGATGCAAGGAAGCTTATCCACCGCGATTTCGCGTCGGCGCCAAGGTCTACACAAGGCCGCAAATCTTCGAAACAACACGCCTTATCGCCAAACTGGGAGAAGTAGTTCTCCATCGAGTCAACCAGAGTGCTCTCATCTGTCAAAGTCCAAAATCAGTGTTTAAGTTCTCAAAGCAAGGATCATACCAGAGGATATTCCGTGGGAAAACGCGTTTTTCTCGAGCTCCAAAAGTGCCAAGGAGGCAGAACGGTTATTTGAACCATCTGCCTTGGCGATTTCGGTCAAGAAATCGCGTGTTTTCGCAATGTTCTCTGAGCACTCTGACTTCCCCTCTTCGCTGATATCGGACCCTTGCACTGAAGCAAAAGCGGCATCGATCACTGAAACGAACTCCAGCCAATTCCGGTCACTGAAGTGCACATTAGATTACATCAAAAGTAACACATTATGCCCGCTCACTTGTTTTTGATCTTCTCTTGAGCCCGATCCCCCTCGTCCTTGTATAGACCGCGTTTGCGCCAGATTTCCCTGCGAGTCTCATTACACACAAGACTGGCCGAACAGATCGACTTCCCGATATCACTTTCCAGCAAGGTGTTTGCTTCATCCCACAGTTGAAGCTCCTGCAGGATGACCAGATGCAAGTGGAAGCGGTCCACGGCCATATATGATGGTGTCGGACATGATGTGACATGACGGTGAGCCAATTTGTAGAGCAATGTGCGAATATTTGGAGGAGTGCCAAGGTCATTCGCCTACCTCCCCACAATTAGAACGAGTTATTTGCAACACAATGCGATGCACAAACCTGGAGAATTGCGCCTGTCACGGCCCAGTATACGTATCGGTCCCCCTGGAACTGCTTGTGCATTCGGGTTGCGACCTTAGGGACAACACGATTCGACTTGTGTACAGGAGAAGGAACAGTTGGAAAGACTCACCTGTTGGCAAGATTTCCAGTTGCCAGTTCGCACATGAGCGAAGAACGTTTGTGCGCCGAGTTCCTCGCTGTGAGGTTGTTGCTTAAACGCGTTATCAAACATGGCTACCATGTCGGAATCTGTTGTTACAAGATGAGTTCAATACAGGCAAGCAGGAGCTAGGGACCATCATGTACTTCTGGCAAGGCCCTTGAGGACATGCGTCATCACGGATAGTGTGGAATCATCCGTGACAGCGGCAGCAAGGATCTCGTCGCATAGAACTAACGCTTCCTCTACTTTCTGCGAACGCGTCAATGCAAGTGCTTTCAGGGCCTACATGGATGAAATGTTAAACCGCCTCCAGAGGGATACTAGGGCACATACTTTAACAAGAGTATTATTAGTATACTTTTTGAGCACTTTATTGCATGCATTAATAGCAGACTTGTTTGATCCATGGTCCAGAGCATCTATCACAGGTCAGTTCCGACTTGCATACGCGTTAACGATGGCCAACCATAGATGGGACGAATCTGACGTTCGAGTGCAGCTTCTGACATATTCGATAAGAGAATCTAACTAAACTGGAGAGGTTTGTGGAGGGTCGAACGAAGCAGCAAGAGAAGCTTCAAGTTGGGTGTAGTGCACGCGAATTTTTAGTGCTTTGAAACTTTCTCTCGCCAAGCGTTCCGCCGCGACCCGAAGCGGCAACTCTACTTGAAAGTTCGATCACATTCATTGCGACCGTGCGGTCTCTACTAAGTATAGTCTCGTTGTCGGACATAGTCACGTTTATCGGATCTCGTTGGATTTGGGTCCATGAACGACCTGTTTCCGGATCTCCACTCATCCAGATCAGTGAGTGGTGGAGCCCAGTGCTGATACTTCTGTGCACTATTTTTCACATAAAGCGAATATCCTACACAAGTACAGAAAGCACTATCATATATATAGCTAGTACTGCAGCACTTGTTCCTGCATTTTCGATGCGTTTGCCTAGTTACGTAGGGTAAATTTTATTCCGCACATGGACGCAATTTCCTGTTGTAAGTTTATAGGCATACGTTCCATGCAATCAATGAGAACACGTCAGAGACACCCTTTCTCCGAAATCTATGCAATCATAATATCTCTAGCGTCCTGATGTCCATCATGTCATGAACAGAAGCCATGTCCTTGACCTGCGCCATGATATTGTGATCAGACACGATTCTCTTGTATTCTCCACCACGCTGCTGTGCTAGGAAAATTGCGCCAAAAGGTTGTCCAAGGCGAACGATCAACCTTAGCATATCAACGGGCTCATTCTCTCCAGGACATTCGCCGAACGAATCGGCCAACGGAGACTCGAGCACAGACTCGTCCACGCTCTGCGTATCGTCTGCAAAGTCAGGGAGTCCGAGGTCCTGACGATTCCATGGGCGAATTAGCAGAAATGTCTGCCGATCGGGCCTTGCTCGCGGGAATTGAATCAGTTTGTCTTGGGTAGTGATTACCAGGTCTCGAAGACCGTCTGCCTTGACATCATATGTGGAACGTGACTCCTGGTCTTGATCACGGCTCCGTCTGACTTCTATCACGGGAAATGCGATGCACGGAAGTTGTAATCTGGAAGTAGCGAAATGAGGAGCGCTG